TAATAATTTTATTTGATTTTAAGTTGAAAACCGATCAGGTTATAAATATGCAGTAATGTTAACGGTACATTGAGTTCATATTGATATAGTAAGAATTTTTCTTTCGCATGACGCGAATTCAGAACAATGTGTTACTGATGGTGATCCAGTGCTTCATTATGCTTGTTTGGGTAATCAACCAAATTGTGTTTCACTTTTATTATCAAAAGGAGCTGATATTAATTTAAATAATTCAACAGCTTGTTTATGTTTACAGATCGCTATTAATAAACAATTATTAGAATGCATGAAAAGATTATTAGAACATCAACAATCACCAATGAATGTTCATTTAAAAGATACTTACCGATAATACTGCATTACATGATATTGGTTTAATTTCGTTTAGTCCTTTTCTCTCGCATAGAAATTTAAATCTTTCTTCCTCAAAATTCGATTTTGGCCTCACAACATCTATAGGATATGATTTACTAGCATATGCTGAAGCTATGCTAGGAAAGCTGTGATTAAATTTTTAGGCTTATATCATTTTATTTTCGTAAGATACTCAACCTATCTTTGTCAAAAATAGTTAATTTGACAACTCAAAATTCTCTGTAGGGCCGGATTCTATATATTTGATATTTTTTGTTTGAAAGAGCATGTCACGAAATAGAGCATGATAGAGCCCTTTGTCTTTGTATTATAATTCTGCTTTTTAAGCCAAGAACAAGGATAAAATGTTCATTTGCTCGAAGCATATTTTTGAAGAAACCTATTTTAAAGGTGAACACTGACACAAATAGAATATTTTGCCTAAAAAAATAATGCCGATTAAAAACTTGGGTAGTTTCTAAAAAAAGAAAGGGTCAAATTATCTGCCCATGGATTTATCTCAATTTTGCATTTTTCTTTCAAGAAGAAAAAGACTTGATATATTATTCTCTATTTTATTGTTCTTGTTATCGAATAGGCATGTTTTTGATCATTTTCCTGGCCCTGATGAACTTGCAACATGTAGAACTCATCTAAGTGTACGAAGTATTAAAAAAGACTTAGAAGAAAAAAGTCATGAAACAAATCTAATGCCATTCGAAAAAAAAATCACGTAATCGATAATAGTTTAATCTTTTTATAAAAAAAAAATCATAATATCGTAACTTATCTATATTTAAATTTTAGTTGAAATAATGAATGTATAGATGGAGCAGAATTAATTGATCTTCTTCTTGCTGTATTAAATATTGTTTTTAATTTAAAAAATGAACGAAGTTTTAATGTTCTTCATCATGCTGCACTTAAAGAATATGCATAGTAAGGTTTGCGTAATGCGAAATGCGAGTGAAAACTATTTTTAGTTCATTTACATATCGTTTGATAGAGCTTGAAAAGCTTGTAACCTATATATAGGGTGGATATGAGTATGAGTGTGTTTGTGTGTGTTGAACGCAGAACTACATACACATCCATAGACACACCGACAACCTTACAGTGGCATATCTAGGATATTTGAAAGAGTGATAATAAGAAAAAAAATCGATTTTTGAACTCATCTGAAGTACCATAAACTCGTTGTTTCGTTCATTTTTGCTGAGAAAAATCGAAAAAATTTCTCGAACGAGGAGGGGACGGCAAGAACCTCGTTGCCCCCTAGATCGAACTCGAATTGTGCAGCTGCTCATAAAAATCGTGTTAAATATGTTAATTTATACTCGTTTACCTTTGCTTAAGAAGATATACTTACCTGGGCAGACAAAGACTGAAAAGGAGCGTTTTTGTGCGTTAAAATGATTTTTTGTCGATAAAGTAGTTTTGTGAACGTTATCGTTTTCGAAATTCGCTTTTTTCTTGAAAAGGAGTGCATTTTACTGTATGAAAACACGTTTTTTGTCGATTTTGTATGATTGGGTAGTGCTCGTTACTCAGTTGATGTATGATCTTCCTCTCCAGTTACTAGTTTCCGTAAATCAAATTCTAAACATCACATCATGCACATGTGTCTCTTAAAGAGAAAATCGATTTTCTTGCTAATGTGACACAACTCTTGTATAGGAATGTGACAACGTCAATTATGTTTCCAATGAGCTGTTAACTTGAAAGGTAATTCAAAAGCTTAGTATCCTCTAGAGAAAATTACTTTTTTCTTTGTTATGGTAAATTCTAAAATAATTAGGCTACGGCGTTTTTTAATTTGTTAAAACAAAATGATTATATTGCAATCTTTTATATTTCAAACTGTGCTACCAAATATATATATATTTATTTTGTAGAAACATCTTCTTTTATACCTTAAAAAAAAGAAAAGAAACAACATTTTTATTCGTAAGTAGTGGATACAAGCAAAAACAATGATAATCCCGTTATGTGGTACTAATATATTGTGATCGTGCTATTTTCTATGATTTTATGTCAATACCATTCTTTAATGCTATTTAAAAACTATCATTGAAGATTTACATTTTTTTTTGTTTCGATAATAGATTTCTTTTTCTAATGGATTTTATTGGTTTATTTTCGATACTCAATTGAGTTGGTGGCATCAATGTGGGTGTAGGTATGTGTTACAGTCATATGTTTATTCCTGACTCATCGGCATCTGTTTATTCATTCTTTGACGCTTATCCCTTCTATATATGCTCTCTCTCTTGTCGCCTACGTGGTTCTGTTCCGTTGTTGTTCTCGTGTCGATATCTCGAAATAAACGAACATCAAGAAGCTACACGGAATCCTCTAATAGTATGGATGTTAATTCTCTTCACACCCACACTCACTCACCCATCCACCCACCCACATCCACAACCACACCCACACCCTATTCAGAGACCTGAATGTGTTTCTCAATGTTGGCAACAACAACTAAAGATAATATTTTCTCTTCTATGCCAGATAGATCTGGTTATTTTTTTTCTCACCGATAGTTCTGATCAAACCCACTAATTCGTGAAAAAAAGGGAAGTTATAACTTTAATGAAAGACGGCAACTTAATAATTTTCATTGATGCTAAAATCGAGAAAAAGATTCAGGTGTCTGAATACTTTTTCGAGTACCTGTATTTGAACGAATCCCAATAAAACAATGATTTGTGTTAGCATTACCGAAAATGATAATTCAGTGCGAATGCACAGATATCATAGTATTTTAGTCACATTAACGCCTGAGCATTAAATTGCTTTTATTAGTCTATGCCAAAGCACTACAAAAAGCACTACTTTTTTCAATACTGATGCTAAGCCAATACGTCTACCTCGAATAGATAAATCTAATTCTACCAGTAATTATTTCGAATTGCAGAATGTTAATAAAAAGCTGTGAGTGCAATCCCTACGGAATTCGAATGAAAAATACGGCAAAACTGTTTTTCTTGATAAGGCTGAAAGATGCCACAAGAGGAAAATTAGAATATTAAGAAGCGCGAAGTTCAATCAAGAGAGAAAAGAGAAATAGGAGAAGCGCAACAAACAGATACATTTATTGAGGTACACTGAATAACCTTGTGTCTATCACGCCTGATGACAGGGTCTAGGATGAAAATTTCTATCCCTGTACTTCAACACTGCTTTTCAATCGTGTTTCACGAATGGTATTTCCACGAAACCATTGCAGAAAATTATTGCCGAAAAAAAAGAGAATTTTAAATAAAGAATTGGAATTATTATATGTTTATGAAATAGTTTCTCTGAAGAAGAGACAAGGAAGAATTTCTAAAAGAACTCTTGCTGTTTGGTTTCTCTCTGATAGAAACAAATTTGGACGCTTCATATTCATTAAAATTTTTAAATAGTTCTTATAGAGATTAATTTTTTTTATTTGGAATGCCGCGTAACGATTATATTTTATTTGTAAAAAAAATTTTTTCATTGTTTTGAATGTAAATAAAAATGAATTTCATGTAAGTCTATTTTGTCCGACACATTTGATTTATAAAATAGTAAGCATTTCATTTGCAAATGTTTCGAAAGCATCAGCTCTCTTCTTCTGTATTTTACATAATGTAAATAACGAAATGATAAGTGTATAATTATCTTTAGTGGCATACATTTTTTTCTTTTCCTTTTCCTTTTTCTTGTTGATGCACGCATATAATACTGGAACGACAAAAGATCAAGTATAGCTTATCTCGTTTGTTGTTAGTGTCTAGTTTTTGGTGTTCCGTGTCAGTATGATAGATAGATATGTATCGTCAAGGAAAAGAAAAGAAAAACAATATATGGAAGTATATATCATCATGCAGCTATCATTTTGTTTTTGTACTTTTTTGTATTATGTATAGTAATGGAGAAAGCTGATGCATCCAAGATATTTACAAATAATGCGGTTATTATTATGATCGAGTAAGAAAAATTAAACAAATGCTTCAAGTTCTTTCAATTTAACACCAAATAATATTTTTCTTCATTGATGAACGACGCACCTTAAGAAATACTAAGGCTATGTTAAAACAATTCGACTTTAAAATGTAGAGTTTCATATTTATAGATATCGAGGAATACATTTAGCAATACTCTACAGTAAAACCAGAAGATCGAATATTCATTATTAGTGAATAAAGTAAAATTGTAATAACATATACCTCGTTATCTAATATACTTTGGAATCCGTTTATTTTTATCAACTAGTGAATACAGTTATTTAGCCATACTTGGTTGCGATAAATAAATGAACATAGTTTGAGCTTTCCATACCAATTTGTGCGAAGATACTTATTTGTATAATTCTAGATAGAGCAATGTCGAGAATCTTCATATTTGGGGTTCTTCTTATTTTTATAATCGGCGAATCTATTGCATTCACATGTGAATGTGGGCAGAATGTCTGCAATGGCCGATGTTACACACCGGGACAACAAATCTGCATTGATGGTATCGTGTGTAGCTGGAGTCAACAACTTTGCCATGGACAATGTTACACACCGAGTCAACAGCTATGTATCGATGGTATCATATGTAGCTGGGGCCAACAACTTTGCAATGGACGATGTTACACACCTGGCCAACAAAGATGCTTCGGCAGTATGGTGTGTAACCAAGGTCAACAACTGTGTAATGGTCGTTGTTACACACCTGGCCAACAAAATTGCGCCGGTAGTATTGCATGCAGCTCGAGTCAGCAACTTTGCAATGGTCGATGTTACACGTTGGGTCAACAGAGATGCATCGGTACTATCCTGTGTAACAGGGACCAACAGGTTTGCAATGGCCGATGTTACGCACCGAGTCAACAAATATGCATCGAGGGCACCGTGTGTAGTTGGGGCCAACAACTTTGCAATGGTCGCTGTTACACGCCTGACCGAACAACATGCCCAGGTACCATTGTATGTGGCGTACATCAACAGCTTTGTAATGGTCGCTGTTACAAGACGTGGGAAAAAA